GCCAGTCTGTGACTAGGGGCTTCCAGATTTCACAGTCCTGCCCCCGTCGCCACTCGCTGATCGCCATGGGAACCACTAGGCCACCCAGCACTCACCTTCCACCTCCACGTCATCAACACAGCGTTTGATCTGGAAGCAAAAGGCCATCCTCAGGTTGGGCAAGGTGGTGAAGCACCAGGGGGCCTCTGAACCATCAGGGTTGCGGCAATAGTTCTCCTTTAGGTCCCTAGAAGGTGCAAGGGAGAGAAGCAACAGCATGACCAGCCTTCCTCCACAGACCCTCCTGGATGGGCTCCAACATCACCTGGAATCTGCAACTACTGCAATTCAGGAGCTCCAAGACAAGGTGATGCATGAATATGTTAACAGCTCCTTGCCTCATGCTGCCTCTCTAGCACAGTAATGACACTAGTTTTGCTGTACTTCTTCAAGGGCTTCTGAAATTTTGGACAGACACATTTCTACACTCTTGTCATAATTTGATAGACTCTAGCAACATCCTGAAAGATTTTTGGAACTTTAATACTTGGGGATACTTTTGAAAACTGTTGTGAGCATTGTTCAGAAAGCAGCTGCTAAATTGTTGACTGGAATGACTGAGCCGCACCTGTTTTGCCCCCATGCATGTAACATAATTCAGAAAGATGCAAACATTGTTTACCAACACAGTAAAGTCCATAAAACATTAGCAGTCTCAAAATGCTTTCATTTCACAGGAACTTGGCTACCTCATTTTCCCAATATTACTACACAATGGGGAAACTATTCACTTTAATATACTTTTGATTTATGTAATTAATAGACATAAGAGCCAAGACTCTCAAGCTGATGTTAGAAATGTGGATGTCAACTCAAAATTAATGGGACTAATATATATCAGTTCCATTACTTCCTCATCCCAAAAATATATATCAGAGAAGACCTTTCAAATATAAGAAACAAAAAAGTGCATCTTTAGTAAATAATTTCTTGTTATGCCATTGCCTTGCAGCAGACCTCACATTTTGGTCTAGAGAAAATAATAAAATTAATGAGATGATTCTATTTTTTTAAAAGGATCTGAGTGGATTTTAAAACTAAAATAATTGGTTCCTAGAGCACTTTGAATTTGATCTACTCCCACTTTTATAAATTCACTCAGAACTTTTTCTAGTCTGGCTGCAGGGTAATGTCCTTGAAGGCTATATAACTCCCCCTCCTTTCTCCCACTTTTTGCCCTGACCATCTGCTAAAATCAGATTAAATTTTGTACTGCTTTAAGTAAAGAATTTAAGCAGAATACAAAAATTAAAATGCATTACAATGTTTTATGTAGGTATTATTATATAGCGAAGTGTTGTCCTTTTGATTTTACATTTATATTTTGAATTGCTTTTAAGTTTTTATGCACTTGTGAGAAACTTAAGAAGTCAGCTGAAATATATACACAGTTCGAAATACATTATATTCCTTACCTAAGAAAACCTTGTGAAATTCAAGACTTGACAAGCAACTTGATAGCACACGCATGAGCATGAACGCAACACACTAGGGGAATTTTTATTGTCCCTGCTGAAGTGTCATATAGGTAAAGGTTTTCCCCAGACATTAAGTCTAGTTGTCTCTGACTCTGGAAGTTGATGCTCATCTCTATTTCTAAGCCAAAGAACTGGCATTGTCCGTAGAGACTTCCAAGGTCATGTGGCCAGGATGACTGCATGGAGCTCTGTTACCTTCCCGCCAGAGCAGTACCTATTGATCTACTCTCATTTGCATGTTTTCGAACTGCTAGACTGGCAGAAGCTGGGCCTAACAGCAGGAGCTCACCCAGCTCCCTGGATTCAAACCGCTAATCTTTTGGTCAGCAAGTTCAGCAGCTCAGCAGTTTAACCCACTGTGCCACTAGGGGCACCGAAGTGTAATATACTGTTCAATTATGCAAAAGTAAATGAGCCACAAAATATTCAGTATATGTTTAAGCAGTTTGTTATGAGCCTCTGTAAGGTTTGCATTCCTTGACAAGGAGACCTTTCTCTTTAACGTCTGTAGAAAAATTGGCAGGGTTAGCTTCCTAGAATGAGAATGTGTTCAAAGTTGTACCTGTGGAATATCTGCTATTGAACACCTGCTATGAAAAGATACATTCTTTTAGATGCAAAATTTAATTTTTATACAGTATTAAAGCCAGTAACAACCACCTCAGGAAAGAAAACTCTCCCAACTTTCGTCTTAGCAATTTGTGGTTTGGGTGTTGTACTACAACTCTGGAGGCCAGGCTTTGAATCCCTCCTCAGCGATGAAACCTAGGATGGGGGGTGGAGCATCATATTACTGTGGCATTATGACCCATTGCATTAGAAAGCCAATGATTTCTCAGATGCAATCACACATTGTTCTTTTTCTCCCAAAATCATCCATTTTCAGATTTATCACACGGGTAAGTGCAGTTCCCGGCTACTCCATTTAAAAAAAAAAACTTGGAAAAAATATTTGGGGATAATGGGCTTTTTCCTGCAATCCCTCTAGTCTGGAATAGATCCAAGGCACTCTTTTAAACTAGACACCACTTTGGGGATACTGGGATTTCCTTCCAATCTCAGTACTCTCCATTGCGGAAATCCAAAACTTCAAAAACTAGCAGTACCGCAACTTCAAAAGTGAAATTACTATGAGGGAGAAATGACAGGAAAAACAAAGATATCTTGAAAATCTGGTATTCTTAATAATTAATATAAGAATACCAAAATTTGGGGCCCGCTGAGGCACAATGGGTTAAACCACTGAGCTGCTGAACTTGCTGAACGAAAAGTTGGCGGTTCGAATCCAGAGAGTGGGATGAGCTCTCAATGGTAGGCCCGGCTTCTGCCAACCTAGCAGTTCAAAAACATGCAAATGTGAGTAGATCAATAGGTACCACTCCTGTGGGAAGGTTACGGTACTCCATGCAGTCATGCTGGCTGCATGACCTTGGAGGTGTCAACGGACAACACCAGCTCTTCAGCTCAGAAATGGTGATAAGCAGCACCCCGCAGAGTTGGACACAACTAGACTTAATGTTAGGGGAAGTCTTTACCTTTACTAATGATTAAGTTAATTAAAAACATCACCATACAAAGCTCATGCAGCAGTATTTTGGGAGAGAAACATCAGTGCTTGGTAAGGGTCCACACACAAGACCACTCCTTAATCCACATCACTGAAGTGATTCAGCACAGGTAAATCTGACATATCCCATCCCACGTGTGTCACCCGTTTCTCCAGCTTCATCGTGATTCCCGAGCCTGGAAGAGACTCTCTAGCCATTCCCCAACCCCAATTTCCTGACACATAACGCTTTTCTGACAATTTATGACAGGTGCAGACAAGAAGTCCTTCCTGCATTGTAGGATCTGATCTATCATACACTGTTTCCTTTCTGTTTTAAAAGTGTCTAGAGATTATGGGGGGGAGGGGGGGAGTGTTGTTGGATAACATCCCTGCAGGGCAATCCTGAGAAAGTCATACCCTTTCAGACTCAGAGGAAGCCAATGAGATGTCTTCCACACACCACAGATTGCCATAGGTCAGGAATGACCCAAACAACAACAAAGTATTCTCTTTATAGCAGTGTATATTTCCCCCGCAATTGACCCTGTACTTACTTGCACTCATATTTCTCAGGCAGGAAATGATGGCGGTGGGGTGTCTGTGAGTCCCAGCGTTGGCAGGGGATGCCTGAAGTAGTGACATTCACTGAGCCACGGTAGTTTTCTCCTTTCAGCCTGAAGCAGTTGGTTGTAGTAGCTGGATGTCGGTGTTTCTCTGCTTTTATGGGTGCAAATGGGAGAACCCATACAAATAAAATCACAATTATATCATTTAAATCTTAACACCAAAGCAGTATGCATCGTAAGTGAAAAACACATCACATGCATCCTGAGCACACATCACATGTTTGTAAAAATAATATCAAAACCTTTGCCAGATTTGGGCAGGAAAAAAGAGATAATATTTTTAAAAGGGGATATTGAATGTATATATTTATGTTGTGTTTGTTTTTAAATGATTTGAGGTTAGAAAATTGATATTTGCACCGTTACAGCAGTAAGGAGGGAAACCATCATACCCAGATGATTTCAGCAATGCCCTTTAGCACAGCAAAACGTGGATTTATTGGATGGAAGATGTTAAAGAGTTGTGTGATCAAGTGAATTGAAGTGTGAACATAAGTTTATTTTTTTCACTGTAGGTTCCGATGTGCATTCTAATATCCTTAAAACTTATTTTGGATCATAATGTCTTCTTTTGGAATTGGTCCCTGCTGTCAGCACAGGTTCAACTGCAGCCCAAAGCCAAGTAATTGTTTTCATTAACAGAGCATGAAATCCCCATGCACCACGTTTCTAAGCAAAGTCTCTGGATCCCAGAAATGCCGCAGAACATTTCTTGGAAGTGACAGAAGAGGGGTGAAAGGCCCATGAATTCTGGAGAGGACAAAAGTGGGCCTCACCTTAAGGAAGCTGCCTTAAGGTCACCTAGCCAAAATCTCTTCTTCTTTGCAGTCATCTGTTCAACTAAACTGATGGAGATTAAGCTTGTTTTCTGCTGTTCTAAAGATTAGGACAAGGCCCAAATGAATTCAAATTGCAGGAAAAGAGATTCCACCTAAACATTAGGAAGAACACTTCCTGACAGGCAGAGTTGTCCAGCTGTGGAATAAGCTGCCTCGCAGGGTGTTGGAGTGCTTTGATTTTGTGCTCCAGCTCTATGACTCTATGAATGGGTTGTAGAGACATCAGGTGGATTCATTTTGGCTGAAGTTTATGAAATGTATTTATTAAAATATTTATATCCCACCCTAAATCCAGACATCTTAGTTCCTCTCACCCAAGAACTGCCTAAAACTTATCGGCAGCTCTACTGTTCAAAGCTCTTAGATTAAACATGGGTTAAAATGAGTCAAACTTATTCTGTCTGGGAAAAGTGACCACTATAGAGAAAGGGGTGGTGGACCCTCTTTCCACTTTTCATTCTACAAACAACCTGTGATATTTTATACACTCGATCCCCACCTTGTGTCACTTGTACAATCCAAACTGACCCAAGGTCTCAAAACTGATTTGGAGCCCCCTGTGGCACAGCGGGTTAAACCCTTATGCCGGCAGGACTGAAGACTGACAGGTCACAGGTTCAAATCTGGGGAGAGTGTGAATGAACTCCCTCTGTCAGCTCCAGCTCCTCGTGTGGGGACATGAGAGAAGTCTCCCACAAAGATGGTAAAACATCAAAACATTCGGGCATCCCCTGGGCAACGTCCTTGCAGACGGCCAATTCTCTCACACCAGAAATGACTTGCAGTTTCTCAAATCGCTCCTGACATGAAAAAAATGAACTGATTTAACTGCTGAGCCATCACAACTTCTATGAGTTCATCACATGAGGCAGGCAGATCGCAATTACAGCAGGATAACAGTGTCTAAGGTTGAGACGTCTCACATGACATTTTCCCTCTCTCACCAATCTACCAATGACTTCCTTTTGTAAAAGAAATGCCTTCCATCATCTGCCCTGCCCCCATCCCGCAGAACAACCAAAGATGAGTCCATGTGATAAGTGCTGTAATTGTGATTTGACTGACTAATGTGATAAACTCCTAAGCTGCTAATCAACGCTCAGTAGGCACAAGCCAGCCTCGTTGCGGGGTCTTCCTTGGCAATTCATTCCTCAGCATGATGCTGTCTCTGCCTGCTGTTACCCATGACAAACACATGTTTCATGCAGCCTTTGCAAATTTATGGGACTTACTGCACTTCCGAATGCTGCAATATTCCCGCTCTTTGGCAGGGTCTGTGGTGTAACACCAAGGACGCTCAGAACTGTCAGGATTGCGGCAGTAATTGTCAGCAAGGTCTTTCTCAGGGTATCTTTTAAAAATAGAAAAGAGGAAAGGGGAAATATTCAGATGAAAACCAGAGCTTGAATAATTACTTTTTGAACTAAAATTCCCTGAGTCCTCCAGCCTCCAGGTAACTTTGCATAGTCTGACTAAAACTATATTCTCATCATTAGTGTTTTCAATCACTTATAGAACAACATTTATCTGTACTTTCCTGAGGAAGAAATCAAACTGACTCTCTCTGTGTGTTCCATATAGAAAAGGAAATATTTTAGCACAGTTCCTTTACTGGGGAATGCAATCCACCCCAGGATGGCCACTCCTATTCATTATTAGCTGATGTTCCACTCCAGTTTAAGGACCTCATCGCACTGAGAATGAATGAACTTTAAATTCAGTTTCTGCCTCCTGCAGAATTCAGGGATTAGTAGTTGAGGGAGGAGCCTTTAACAGCCTCACTAAATTACAAATCCCAGAATTCTGCAGGAGACAGAAACCAGATTTAAAGTGGATTCATTCTCTAGTCTGACAAAGTTGAAAGTCAAAGGAATTAAAACTGACAAGTAACACACTTCACATCCAGATATGCAGGAAAAGAATATTTTAATGCCCCTTCCACATAGCTGTATAAAATGCCACATTATCTGCTTTGAACTGGGTTATGTTGCAGTATGGGTTCAGATAACCCCCATTTAGATCAGATATTCTGGGTTATATAGCTGTGTGGAAGAACCCTGTGAAAGGAGAAGTTGTATCATTCATGAGAGACTGTCAGAAAAGGCCAGGGACCAGACTTACAAATACATCTTATCCAAGAATGCAACAGGAAAATCTCAACACAATTTTGGTACTATGTTTCCGCTTAAATGGTCATGTTGATGTCCTATTGAATCCTGGGGTTTGTAGTCTCGTGAGGACTCTTTCTCTGGCCGATAATTCAAAACATCATTCCCGAAATGACAAATTCCAGGATATCATAGGATGGAACTATGGCAATTAAAGTGGAATCATACAGCTATAATTGCCCGGTATGAAAGGATCACCAGGTGGCTTAACGTAGACTGCCATATCTGTTAGAACGCTACACAATAAAAAATGTCCAATCATTTTATAATATTCAGTGTCCTTCCACCCACCCCATCCTGCTTCCCATAAATATGTTACCCAAGAATTGGAGCTTAGTACTTGTTTGGAAGGAACGGGTGCCTATGTGGATGCTGCAGATCCCAGCGCTGACACTCTATGCCAGACTCCGTCTGATCCACAAAGCCCCGGTAGTCTTCACCATTGCATGACATGCACACAGCTGCAAGAGAAAAATAAAAAACAATATACATGGTGTGGAATTAGGCTCACTCAGCACTTCGTCTGGAATAATGATGAAGAGAGGGCTCATCTTTAAAACTGCTGCTCATGAGAAAATACTGGACATCTCCAAGCAGACATAAACAGACAGCAAAACCAGAGAGTGGCTCTACTCCTGACAATGGCAGGAAACAGAAGTATATATACACATGCATGCTCAGGCAGTCTACTTCAAATGATAATGAATGTAGAGAAACCAAGATAAGATAGTAATACAGGCTGTCTCCGAGTTACAAGCATCTGACTTACAAACGACACATAATTAAGAATGGGTATGTGACAACAGGCAGTGAGAAAAATCTACCTCAAGGAAGGGAGATTCACTCTTGGGAGAGTTATCATAGGGAAAAGGTGCCTCCACTGAAGCTTTATCACAGGGACAGAAGGTGAAGTGAAATCTTCTGAACAGGGGCACAGCCAGCAAAACAAACACCACATGGATGTTAACCCTTCCCTATGCTATAGTGTGTTTGTGTGTGTGTGTATTTGACTGGAGTTACACTTTTAAAAGGTTCTTGTTCCAACTTATATACAAATTCAACTTAAGAACAAACCTACTGAACCTATCTTATCTGGAACTTGGGCACTGCATGTAAAAGGACAAATGAGCTTTAAAAAGCCAACAAATGCAGATATTAAAGCGCATGAGACAAAAGCATATACAATCTGTCCAAGCTCATCCAAACAGGATACAAGGCAACATGTAAACACAAGGTGCCAGGAAAAGATATCAGACAATATCAGAAACTAGGCTTGAATACAAGTTGATTGTTGTGTTTTGCACAGTAATTGATTCAAACAAATGGATTCTGCCTACATCTTGCTTCAGTCTGTAATAAATGCATTGTGGCAGAAATGGGGTAGTTTTGTCCCCACAGCAGTTTTGAAAGCTATCCCTTAGCTTTGGCCATAAAAGGTGAAGTTGATGAAAGTGATATGTTAAAACATTAGGGAGGCCAAATATTCCCATCTCTGCACTGCAACTAGTCAGACTAATTTTGAAGGAGGAAGTATATAAGCAGAAAACCAAGTTTAAAATAACTGTTTGCACAATTATAACCAGTCAATTCTATGCCCCCCTGGAAGCTTCAAAAACTACACAGCTTTCCAAACAAGATGGAGGAAAAAAGCACAAAATGGAATGTTGCATACCTTTCAATCTTTTACATTTTTAAAGTTGCACCAAAAACACATACACAAAGCCTTTAATATATAGTTTTCTATCTGTACACTATTCTGTGCAGTTTTCCCAAACAGCAAAAAATTGTTAGCTTTGCAGCTTCTCAAACTACACATTTCATACAGTGTGCAATCTTTCTTGCAGATTTCCCCCCCCCCTCCCAGGGGGGGGGGGATTCCCATAAGTTTAAGGGAACTTTCTGGGTGCTATTTTTCTTTGACAAATATTCAATCCCAGATGGAAAAATGTCAGATATTCATTCCATCTCTAGTTTAATTTAAAACAGTGATGAATGTGTGGCCTTCTAGACATTGTTACACCACACTTCCTATCAGCCCTAGCCAGCATAGCAAAGGCATATGGAACAGTGAGAGTTATCATTCAAGAAACTCACTTCAAATGAAAATAACTTAAGTGAAGAGTCAGTTGATTTGAAGACTTTGCTGTTATTTTAAGGCTATTAGAACACAACAAATTTCAAAAGTGTTAGAGAACTGGCCATAAAAATATCACTGCCTCAGATTACGTTTTAGATCTTGCCATGAAATTAAAACTATACATTATTTTGGAGGACAGGGTAACTCCTAGTATGCTTCACTCCCTGTTATGTTGACTAAGTCATACCAGGGAGTGAAGAGTTGTGAGAGCTGTTCAGCAGTGGAACTCTCTGCCCCAGAGTGTGATGGAGGCTCCTTCTTTGGAGGCTTTTAAACAGAGGCTGGATGGCCATCTGTCGGGGGTGCTTTGAATTCAATTTTCCTGCTTTTTGACAGGGGGTTGGACTGGATGGCCCATGAGGTCTCTTCCAACTCTATGATTCTAAGTCTATTGGAAGATGGAAGTTCAAGAGCATTGGGAGGGCTACATGATTCCCATTCCTCTGTACATCAACATTGCAAATAGACAAATGCTGATAATGGTGACTTTGTGGACACTTAGATTGTGCTACATCAGAGAGTCATGCAATCGAATGAAACATGCGTGGTCCTGGAGGTCTCTCTCAAGTTCAGCCTACACACCATTTTCACATTTCTTGATGCCACAGCTTTGATGCCGGACAGCAGGGTCTGTTGTGTAGCACCAGGGACCACGCTTATCTTGATCTGGATTCCTGCAGTAATTTTCTTCCAGTCCATTGTGTGGTAAGACAGGAAACCTTGTGCAACAGAGAGAAAAAAGGAGAATATTGGCAGTCACTACTAAATGCCTCAACTAAAATGAACAAACTAGTGATCAGTCTGCCCTTGAGTTATATGACCAGAAACTTCAAATTCTGAAAATACAACTAATTCTACAAATGATGCAAATCAGCATACTTATTTCACCTTGGTTGAAATCACGTCTAGAAATGTATCCTGTTTTTTGGAGAAAAAGTGCTACTGTCATGAGAAACCTCAAAATGTTTCAGAGATGTACACAAAATCTTTCAAAAAGGGCACAGGGTGATTTACCGATGATCATGAGGAAACTTCAGCCGCCACGCTTGACAGGTCTTTCCCTTTTCGGTCACCGACTGGGTCCCTCGATAATCTCTCCCATCTCCCATGATGCAATTCCTTACATAACCTGTGGAAGAAAGACACCATTCCTGGCAAGACTCATAGAAGAAGATACAGGAGTAGACAGTTGAGGGCAGTAATCCAATATGACTGACTGGACTTAGATGGATTCCAGGGTGACATTGAATGGTGGGTTTCCCAGTCTGAGATCAAGAGACAAATAAAGGACTATGTGACTATCTCTTTACATTTCTAATTCAAGCGGATCTTCCAATGCATTTTTACATCTTGAAAATAATGGACTATCACTGAAAAACCGATTATTTACAAATCATACTGGAGAAGGTCCCACTTCAAAGATAACTTGCTCTCTCCCACAGCAAAGAGAGTGAGATAATTTTTTAATAATCTCAGTACCTGTTTGAGCTCCCTCTTGCTCAAACGATCTCTACCATCTCAGAGTTGTGTGTGAAGGACAGAGAACTAGGGGAATCTTTCCTTCCAAGACAAAAGGTCTGTCATCCTGACTTCCATGCACACCACGGCTTATTGTTATGAATATTCAAATCATGCCCGACTTGTGGCGACTCAGAGACAAAGCTATCGTGGGCTTTCTGGGGAGAATAGTAACCTAAGATCACTGAGTTGGTTTCCATGGTTGAGTGGGGAATCAAGCTGTAGTCTCTAGAGTCATAGAACAACACACAGACCACTACACCACACTGCCTCTGTAACTGTATACCAGTACAGGTTCGCATAAGAGATTTTTCATGTATCACATGGAAAAATTGGTCACTGTAGGATGCAATTAGGGCTGCCAGCTGGAAAACATTGGGCTTTTGTACTTTTAGCTTTGTAGAGAAGGAAATTCCAGAAGATGCTGCTTGTCAGGTGTGACAAGCAGAAGGTCAGGAACCTCTGCTGATATTCTCTCTTCTACACAACCGTTAAAAGGGACAGGAGTCCTCTCAAGTCAGAAGACAAATCTCCACTGAGTGAATCTTGCTGTAATGAGTTCACCGTAAGTTGGAAATGAGTTCACTGTAAGTTGGAAGGCACATAACAACAATACATGGCTGCTAAGAACCAATCCCTACACTCATATGTACATATTTTTTTAATTATATTTGTTTGGGATCCCTTCACAGCTTGGCACTCAGCAAACATTTTTAAAATCATGTGGCATTTTCCAGACTAACAGATGTATAACTACAGATGTTTTTAAATAATATAATTCATGTCATCAGTTGCATAATATATTTTCCACAGTCAGATTGTTCCAGCCAGCCCATCCTGTCACTGTCATACCTTTCTTATGTTAGGAAGATTGCTGGCTGATGGCCTAGATCAGGGCAGTGATGTTGACTCAATAGCCAGGAAACAGCAGGCCTCTTTCTTAAGTGAACTAATTGGGATAGGGAGCATATCTCTCCTCTACCCAAAGTTGACGTGAGACAGAACTACGTGTGTGAGGAAGAGATAACAAGAAAAGTTATGAAGGTTGAGACAAGAGACAGCTTTTTGCTAGAAGGCTAAAAACATGTGAGGAAATTCAGGGAGCTCTGGAGCTCTGATAAAGAGCAGTGGATTCATTGTTGGCATAAATACCTTGGAGGCTTGACTCCAACTGTTGAGGGTGTGGGGAGAATTAGGCTGACCACAAACACACCACCAAAAATTAGGACAAAAGAAAACAATGGATGCATCCAAACTGATTTAAAAGATCCTAAAGTGCCAGATTTTGTTTCTGTTCTTTCTGAAATTATTTTAGAGAGCCATACAGATAAGGTTTCAGTAGTGTGATGAAAGCTCTTTCCTTGGAAGCATTTCAACAGAGACTGGATGACCATCTGTGGGGAATATTTTGCTTGTGCTTTTCCTGCATAGCAGGGGATTTGACTAGATGGCCCAAGCAGTCTCTTTTAACTCTATTATTCTATGATTTTATCCTCTTGACCAGGTACCCTGTTGCTCACTCTACACTCGGAGTGCTTATTTAAAGGGGGTAGCTAGGACAAGCTAGGGATTTGGTTGGGAATACCGCCCATCCCGCTGCTCTACAGCCTCCTTTCTTGAGCTGGCTGAGATAGTCTTGAGAGTGGTGTTGGGTCCACATGCCTTGAGATGCTAGAGACTTCATTATCAATGCTGAGGCTGGTCTGCCAGGAGTGGCCCAGGACTTAATGTCTGCCATAACACTGTAAGTAGTCACGGCATCTGCCCTACTCATCCTGGTGGACACACTATGAATCTTACTTTCTGTGCAGAATGTGATGAAAGTAATCTGGGAATGGAACATTTTCTACCCTTCCATTGTGATGGACCAATCATTTCTTGGTCGGGTTTAGACTTGTTGGGACTCTGCAGGAGAGGAGGACCCATTAAAGATGATCTGCCCAGAAGGCTTATGGATCCATATGGATTCCTGATGGCATATGGAGAGATTCCTGATGCTTTGGCAGGAGATCCTATGGAAGCCCTGGTTGATCACTAGAAAGCAGAAATGGCAAGGTTAGTCGACAGGGTCAGTCCTATGTGTCTCTTCTCACGAAGTGGAGGAAACCAGCCACTTAATTTTCCAAGGAGCTGGCAGCAATGAAATGAGATTAGGACCTCATCCCACCATGTCAGAGGAGTCATTAGTTTGCATTTACTTGTATTTCCCACTCTTACATGTACTGCTTTGTTTCTCCTGCCTATGTTTTTCTGTCCTATAAGCCTCAACACCCACATGTACATCCATCTTACCTTTCTTCTGGTAGAGGTCATAGTGGACATTTCTCTGAAGCTGGGTCTGCGGTGAATGCTGGGTCAAAGGCAGCAGCTGGCATCCACTACTTTGCCAGTTGTAATGAAAGGCTCTGGGAGGAAACACACCCATCCATCAGTCTTGCTCATAACAGGCCTACAAGCACTTCTTCTCTTCCAGGTCAGAAACCATATTCACTACACACACACATGAAAAAATCCTTCCATGATTTTCATATGACAAAGAGGGGGCTGAAGATGAAAGAGCAAGAATGGAATCATGCAGTCTAGAGAGCTGTTGCAGGACTGTAACTCCCAGCATCCCTTTCCTTGGATTAGGGCTAATGGGAGCTGTGGTCCAACAGTAGCTGGCGGTGCATGATGCAACTTATGCAATTAGAAGACCAATTGTGAGTTTATGCTTTGCTGGAGGCCAATTTCAGATAATTCAGCAGCTCTAGGAGCCAATTCAATGAGACTTGCAACAAGGCACTACCATTATCCTCACCATGCTGGCAAATATAGTCAATTACCCCTCCCTCCAAATAAAAAAATAAATATGTAGCACAGTTTGGATATAGGTGGAAATGTGAGAAAACAGCATGCATGGAAGATTTGAATTCCCTGGTTTTTAGCTCATCTCTGAATGGAATACACGCATGTCTGCTCAAAAATTAGTTTTGATTAGTTCAGTGAAACTAATGTATTTGTGTTTGTGTGCCATCAAATTACCTACCAACTTGCCTATCAAATCATAATAAATTTCATAGGTTTTCTTGGGCAAGGATTATCATACTGTCTTAGACTTGACCTGCTTATCAGATCTACCATCTTATTAGAACAAAAGAGGAGAGGTTGGTTATTCCCTGTGTGCAGCTAGACTTTTAATGGGCAGTGCTAGGAAATAGGAACAGGGCTGATGAGGAAAAGGGAGAAGCTTGTACCATTTACTGGGGTCTGGTGATACATGAGGTGGCCCAGGAACCAAATGGGTTGCATATATCTTTTCCTTTCTGTTACTATTCTTATTTGGTAATTGGTTTTTTGACTCATTGTAAAACTGATGAATTTCAAAGACAATTATGATGCAAAATTTGATATTGCAAAGTACTTGTGATCTTTAGCTGGTCTGCTCTTGCTGCAAGAGAGAGCCAGAATGGGGACCAAATGAGGGAGAAAAAGCTGTGGCTGAGCAAAGAGATGTAGTACCAATAATTAGGAAGCAAATGAGAGGAGCAGGTGGGTGCCACTGGAAGAAGCCACAGGTAAAGTACAAGATTTCTAGTGACAATGGTATGCTGGTTGTGGGCATTTCCAAGACCTGAAAAAATAACTGGACCAGAAACCATTCTCAGTATTTCTGTGCAGAAGTAGTGGAGAGAAACCCTGGCTTGCACCCTGTTCCCCACCTTTACCTGCAGTCAAGTAGAGTGGCACATTGCCGGGCACACTCCTCTACCCCCATGGACAGTTCCTCTCTCTGGTGGGAGAGATATACCAACTGTGTCGCTTTCAGCCTCTGGAATCCATTCAGCGGAGAACGCTGGCCTGAAAAGACATAAACATGTAAGTCATTTTAATGCCCTGAAAAGAACCCAGAAGCCAGCTAGTTCCAGCCTAGATAGGCCACAGTCAAAAGAACTGTACAATAGTTTTGAACTTTTGGGTTGTGACAAATAAGTGATTTTGAGATCAGGGGCAGGGCTACAGGTTTGCAGGCAAAAGAGACCAGCTTTAATTACAAACAGGTCTCGAAAAGATTAAAATCTTCTACCCTGGGACCAGCCATTGTAGACAATACTGTGCTAGCTCAGGCTTGGTGTGAAGGTGTGTATGAATGGAAACCTCTCAGGTTTCTATAACAGTAGCATGGGCAGATGGCAGGTCAAATATAAATAATTTTGAAGACTTTAGACATACTGAATTGGCATCTCTAATCAATTATACACAAGGGAAAACTAAAGCTTAATCAGCCACATGGAACACATTAAAGGCATCTCTCTCAAAGCACAACAAGGTGGCTGAAGACACTGAGGAAAGATCAGCATTTCCTCCAGTGGTATAGACTGTGTAGTCAACAGTGCAGACTATGTAGTCAACGTCATAACAATCCACACAGTTATTCCCTGAGAAGAAAAAACCAGAGTTTTGGGAAAGATGTTATTTGGATTATAACAGCCAGAATCCATAGCCATTCTAAGACATTTGACTGCCTGAGGCAGAAAAGCAAACGGCGCCTATTAACCCAAAGCAAAGTATGTATAAAAAACCAAGGCAGACCATGTTATTTTGTTACCTTAGGGAAAAATGACACATATTTTTTCTCCCTTACCCAGCACTAAATAATAATAATAGCAACAGCAACAACAATTTACTCTAACCTTTTTGTGACATGCCAAAATCAAAGCATAAGGAAGCTACATCAGTCAGTTTAATGGTAGGAGTTTGCTTTGGACGTCTAGGCTCCTTCTGTCCAAGGGAGCTCGATGGAGAAGTCTTCTCCAAACAGAAATAGTGACAGAGCAAGAAAAAAAGAGACTCCTGGCACAGCTGATTTATTTCAATACAGTAGTAATATTCTACCCTGTGTAATAGGATGTCAGGGCAACATATGGTAAAATCAGTTTCAGCAATATCAAATAAAGTATATATTTTCTTTGATCAAAAAGCACGGGGAACAATCAAGCAACTGAAAACAAAGCACTTGGGCAAAACTAACATAACCACAAATAGTTTGATTAAAAGCCTTTTTTTTACTTGGCACTTGAAGATCACCAGTATGGGCATCGATAAGGCCTCAAAGAGGAGGATATTCCACAAGGGGGTACCATGACAGAGAAGGCCATCTTCTATGTCTCCCATCCAATGTATTTTCTCCCCAACATAATCCGTAACTGGAAGCCCAGAATGTAAGAGTTGCACCAAGGCTTTGGGAAGGAGGAATAGAAAGTGGGGGAAAAGCAACCGGAGGAAAAATAAAGAGTTCTCACCTGCACTGAAGGTCCAGAGTCCCATGAGGAGAAACAGGGCAGCTGGGGACTTCATGACTCTTTCCGACAGAACCGGCCTTCTCAGCTTGGTGAGGCAAAGCTATCAGCAGAGTTGTACACACAGGAATATCCTATCGGGAAGCAACACTCAGAGCCCCCCTGATCCTGCTGACCAAATATTTACCAAGGACTCTCATGTGTCATCAGTAATTCCATGGAGAAAGGAGACAGAGCGAATTCCAGAGTGTATGCGATACAATTGCTCCTGACCTATTACAGGTAATCACCCAAAATGTGGTACCTCTCTTTTCTTCCCCCGTATCTTCCCTCTGCCAGTTCACTGGGCTTTTCCTGTAACTACAGTTAACATGAAAACACCAACAAGCAAACATAAAAAATCAATATAATGCAAAGTCAGGTTAGGAAATTGCTCTGCAGCAGTTCAAACTGGCCTCAGATCAAGTGCCTTCCCCTTTCCTGTAAGTGGTATGACAGCTGCGAGTGAGAAAAAAAATCCAGCCCAAGCTGCCATGCCAGATCCCGTCAAGACAGTAAACAGGACTCTCTTTGCTGCTGCAGTCACAGGCTCCCCAGACTGGACAGAAGGGCGACCTGAAGAAGAGCAAAAAGCAAGGGGAAAAACTTCTTGCAGCACTGTTAAAGATGACTAGATTTGTGGCACATACTTTGATAGATTAGAGTCCACTTCAACAGATCCATAAAGAGCAGAAGATAAACAGATTTTCTGAATGATTTTATGGCTGGAAAAGGAAGTTTTACAGGGAAATGCAGAGCTGTGGAATGACTGGGGAAAAGCAAGTCCTGCAGTTGGCTGCCTGCTGCTTAAAATCAAGGGCAACCATGCTTCTTCTCAGAAAATACTGTTGGTGATCCCACAGTATGACAATCCTAGGATTATTTGTTATTCTTAATTGCAATGAAATCAACTTCTGCTTATGGTGACCCTAGAAATGAGATACCTCTAAACCACCCTATCCCCAACGGCCCATATCAGTCTTGCAGAATACATTGCTTCGGGAGGCAGATACCCAAAGAAGTCACAGTTCTATGAGTCAGTTTCCTCATACACTTCACAAATAAGGTTAACTTGAACAAGATGTATACTTAATCACCGTTTCCTATTTGCATGTGGAAATTCAACAGGTGTAATTTCCCCCAAACAGAATGTGACCTGTTGACCTTCTTCCTGTTGAACAGTAGTTCAAGTCAGGATACCGCTTAACAAGATATCCCTACCAAGCATATTCACTTGACATTCCACTTAGTTCATTCGCATTCATTCCCTAGTATAGCCCTATGGTTGAAAACCAGAATCTACTGTTTCAAAAGAATTAACTTTCCTGTAACTGTGGACAGGATTGCCACCATGAAACTTCAATTCATGATGAGGTTGGAGAACGACCAGTGGCATCATTTTGGAGGTCAGAGGGTGACACTCACTGTGAGGGTTAGGATGGAAATGGGAAAGAGGGAGAGAAAGCAGCCAGGTCATGAACAGTCATTGCTCCGCAGGGTGACTGAAGACTGGAGGAGGAGAGCTCTGTACTTCCACTCTCTTAACAGCAATTTAACTTGCTCTTGTCCCTTTTTCTTGATGCTCCCCTCCCTTCTCCTTCTTTCCCACACATTGACACAGAAATGTTTACCCTTCACAGAATAGCCTTTGGCATCCCCTTCTTTTTAGTCTGTGTGTGCGTGTGTGTGTGTGTGTATGTGTGTGTGTGTGTGTGTGTGTGTGTGTGTGTGTGTGTGTATATATATATATATATATGACTTTTGACTCCAGCAATATCCTCTTGTGTTTTTCCTGCTGTATGCCAAAGCACATGCTTTTGTGTGGCATGCTTTGATTTGTGAAGGGAAATAGGCGCTTGATTTTCACTTTTGATTGCTCAGAGGCACATTTCCTGCAACTGAATAGGCTACCAGTGGTTCTCAACTCCCAGAAATCCCAGCCAGTTTAGTTAGTTAGGATTTCTGGGAGTTGAAGGCCAAAAACATCTGGGGACCTCAGGTTGAGAACCACTAGACTAACCCTATGTTTTTTACTTTCTGGCTGTCCTTTGCTGCTGCTCCTGCTGCATTCCCTGCGTGTCTGTGCATGTGCTCACACACACATGCAGTCTCAGGAGTTTGGATAATAGAGGGCATAGATAATTAAAGATTCTAGTATTTTAGCTACAATGTTGTGATCTGGTACAGAAGGATGTCCATAGGAGTGACACCGTGATTTACCACGCTGGGTGATATCAACCTTTGTGGTGCCACTGAATCAATCAGGCATAGCTGACAAGGCTATCATAGCTGACAACCACCTGATAATGCCATGTTCTATTTTTGGAAGTTTTCCCACACTTCTTCACTTTTTACTCTTATCACTTCATTCTTCTCCACATGTAGATGAAACTTTTTTTCTCAGGAAGCTGGGAGATAAAGTGTGCTGGTTAGAAGACCTGATAAAAAGCAAGGCAAGCTCACATATGCCCTTAAAATTGGAGTGGAAAGGTGGGTTCCAGAAAAGTATTACCCTGCAAGTTCCCAGCCAGCATGGCCAAAGTTTAGACGTTAAAGCCCAAAGCAGAAGAAGCAGAAGATGGAAGCGAAGCAATTATTATGCTAATACATGAGTGCGCGTTTACTCTTTAAACTTACAGAAAGCCCATAGAATTTAACAATGTCAGGGATCTTCCTCCTCACATAAATAATTCCACACTAGTGGACTCAAATCCTCTATAAGAAAACCACCATTTTTAGTTAAGTCCTTGCTTTGAATGCGATTTTCCTGCCTCTTGGCAAGGGGTTAGACTGAATGGCCCATGAGGTCTCTTCCAACTCAATTATTCTTTGATTCTAAGAAAACCCTATGAAATTCATGGAGCCGCCAAAAATCAAGGCACATATAAGGGATAGGGCCTTCTCGGTGGTGGCCCCCCGGCTGTGGAACACCCTCCCTGTGGACATCAGACTGGCGCCCTCCTTATGTCATTCCGCAAGAGACTAAAGACGTGGTTGTTTGAGAAGGCGTTTGAGTAAGTGCTGCAATAACTGGCAATGACGATTGGAACGGAACATGGATAATGAGATTGGTTTGTGATTCAACAATGAGACGTCGCGAATGATTTAGTGTAATTGTATTATTGATAGTGATGTTGTTTAATGTTGTTGTGATATTGCTTATGCTATAAATTGTACCTGTTTTACATGTTGTACACCGCCCTAGGGCTGAGAACGGCGGTCTACAAGTGCAGTAAATAAATAAATAAAATAATACATTCTCTCTTTATTTAACCTGTGGACTTGGAGGAGGGGGTTGCTCTTACACTTCTTTGCATACCCTGGAAAGTTACTTTTTATGGATTACAATCCTCCAAATTCATTAGCCAACAGCCTGCTAGCTGCTACTACTGCTGCAATATATATATATATATATATATATATATATATATATATATATATATACACACACACACACATACATACATACATACACACACTTTTCCAAGTTCTCCTTCTTTGTAAATTCAGATATATCTTACTTCACATCTCCCTAAGTATGCCCACTGTTTATTGCCTTATTTCATTCTACCGGCACATTCCCATGTAATATATAGGAAACTCTCTTAGCTCTGGACTTTGTTTTTGCAGTACACTCAGCAGAACACCTTTCGAATATCTTATGGAGTCTCAATCAATTTGACATAATTTGTGGCAGCCACAAAAATGAAGTTTATGGAGTATAACTACTTTCAAAGTAAGTACTGCACAATTAAGCAAGAAACACTTTCAAACAAGGAACAGTTTTATTTTTCAAATTTTGTTATATAGTGTAATTTATGGAACAAAATTTGAAAAGATTTGGGTAGAAATGAATCAATAAGAGAAGAGGGAATATGTGCAATCATGAATGGAGCGGCCTTGACGACGATTATGGATTGTGTGGTTTTAATAATTGGTTGCAATGTTTATTTGGTTTTTTAATTTTATGTTTTTGATGTATATATTTATTTTTATATTGTTGTTTGATAGGGCATCAAATTGTTACCTATTGTAACGCCACCCTGAGTCCCCTTGGGGGTGAGAAGGGCGGGATACAAATGCGGTAAATAAAGAGAGAAAATAAAATAAAGAAAAAAATTATAATCCATGTGCTGTTTGAAGGTTGGAATCACAGGGTTGTTGCAAGTTTTCTGCGCTGTCTGGCCATGTTCCAGAAGCATTCTCTGCTGACATTTCACCCACATCTATGGCAGGAATCCTCAGAGATTGTGAGGTCTGTTGGAAACTAGGCAAGTGAGGTTTATCTATCTGTGGAATGTCCAGGGTGGGAGAAAGAACTCTTGTCTGCTTGAGGCAAGTGTGAATGTTGCAATGGGCCAGCTTGATTAGCATTGAATTTATTTATTTATTTACTTTATTTATATACCGCTTTTCTCAGCCCTCAGGCGACTCAAAGCGGTGAACAACATCGATACAAAACATCACGAAACAAGTATAGGACAATTTAAAACAATTGTAACATAAATCATTAAACATCAGCATAACAATCATTAGCGCCTCAGCAGTAAAATCAGAATCCAGTCTCATCATCCATTATTCCGTATTCCTATGTTCAATTACACTGTTTAATCAAATGCTTGTTCGAACAGCCAGGTCTTCACTTTCCTCCGAAAGGCCAGCAGAGAGGGGGCCGATCTGATACCTGCAGGCAGGGAGTTCCACAGCCGAGGGACCACCACTGAGAAGGCCCTGTCTCTCGTCCCTGCCAAGTGAATGACCTTGCAGCTTCAAAGCCTGGCTGGTTGCTGCCTGGTGGAATCCTTTGTTGGGATGTGTTAGCTGGCCCTGGTTGATTCTTGTCTGGAAATCCTGTTTTTTGAGTCTTGTTCTTTATTTACTGTCCTGATTTTTGAATTTTTTAATACTGGTAAGCCAGATTTTCTTCATTTTTATGCTTTCCTCCTTTCTGTTGAAATTGTCCACATACTCTGTGTGTGTGTGTGTGTGTGTGTGTGTCAGGCACAACTTGAGAAACTGCAAGTCGCTTCTGGTGTGCGAGAATTGGCTGTCTGCAAGGATGTTGCCCAGGGGGCGCCCAGATGTTTTGATGTTTTACCATCCTTGTGGGAGGCTTCTCTCATGTCCCAGCATGCGGAGCTGGAGCTGACAGAGGGAGCTCACCCGTGCTCTCCCAGGATTCGAACCTGCCACCTGTCGGTCGTCAGTCCTGCCGGCACAGGGGTTTAACCCATTGCGCCACCACACGCTCTAATTCTAATCCTCTGATTCAGCATCCTGCCCTGCAATCAGCGCCTGCAGTGGCGCGCTTTGTCCTCCAGAGGGCGCGGCCCTCCTTCTGTTCCCGCGCTCAGCTCAAAGAAGGCGCGCCTGTGACGTAGCACGCTTCTTCGATCCGGCTGGTTCAACTGGCGAGGCGCCGAAACGCCTCCTCTTCTGGGAATCGTAGTCCATCCTCGCCTCCCGCCCAATACGTCCAGCGTGGCTTCAGTCAGCGTCCTACGTTTCCCGGCAGGCCCTTGGAGAGGGGCGCCGCGCGGAGCATCATGGGCCTCGTAGTCCGAGCGCGTCTCTGTCACAAAGCACTTTGCCTGAGCGGCGGCGGCCGGCCAGAACTTCATTTCCCAGAGGGCGCTGCGGCACCGGCTCGGCGGGGGAAGAGCGCGATCCGGCGACTAAGGGAGGGAAAAGACAGGAAGGAAGATGGTGGCAGCGTGGTTCCTGGTCCAGTCAGCCCCGCGGAGGAGAGAGGCCGCCTCCTGATAGCCGGCAATGCCGCGAGCGCGACGCCGAGACGGGCCCCGCAGGGGAGGCCGAGGTACAAGCTTCCCTAGCAGCTGACGCGGTGTCAAACCGTTAAGCGGCCGAGGGGGAAAAGGAAGGGGCCTGAGGCTGTTAGGAATGGTGGGAGTCGAAGCCCAAACCACCCAGAGGGCCCAAGTTGGCCCAGGCCTGGTATATAGGCACCCCACAAGTTATAAACAAAATAGGGTCTGTGGATTTGTTCTTAGGTTTGATCTGTATGTAAGTCGGAACAGGAACATTTTTAAAGTGTAACTCCAGCCAGATAGATAGATAGATAAGCTTTGGATAGCCTTACCATATGGATAGCATATGGTAAGGCTAACAGCCTTGTGGTGTTTGTGTTGCTGTCTTTGCCCCTGTTCAGAAGATGTCACCTCACTTTCTGCCCCTGTGAGAACTGGGTTTTGGAAAATGTGGCTTGTTGTGGAAACAAGGATCAGTGAGAAAGCTTCAGTGGAGACACTTCTTCTTTCCCTTCTATGGTGAAGATTTCTCTCCCTTCCTGTTGTCTCACCCCCATCCTTAACTATGAGCCATTTGTAAGTTGGGTGTCTGTAACTCGGGGACTCCCTGTACATAGGGAATGTATTAATGTCATGTGTGAACAATCGAATCTCATCATTGGTGTTCAATACTCACAGCGTAGTAAATATTTTGACCCCTCCGTTACTTTGAGATCACCCTACATAAAATGGCAAAATTTTGCTCTTTGGCATTTTTTTTTTAATGTTATCAAGCTGTGGATGGTTGACTCCATGGATATATAAGGCCAACAGTAATTTCTCCAAGTCTTAATTGGCTTAGGAGATCAACAACCTTCATATAAGACCACGTCACTTGGGGTCCCCTCCTCCAATCCACTTATTTGTATGGAGTGAAAGTTGGATGAGAGCTTCACAAGTAAACACCCCCCATGAGGGGTCCTTTCCTTGTGAAGAGCCCCCAGCCGGCAAGAAAGGCAGCATTTGACCTCAAAGAGAGTTGTAAGGAGGTTGTGGTGGCCTCTGTAGATGCTCTTCAAACCTTACCAGTGGCTTGTTTTTTGAATGTGTGTGTGTGTATATATATATTCTCTCTCTCTCTCTCTCTCTCTCTCTCTATATATATATATATATATATATATACACATACATACACACACACACACACACACACACACATATATACTCTCTCTCTCTCTCTCTCTATATATATATATATATAGTCAAAATCTTAGTTTTAAGCATCCTCTGAGGACATAGTCTTTGTCCTCCTTTTGCTTTCTTCTGTGGAACTGTACAGCAGGAACCCACATGTAGGTATAGCGTGGGCATTGTGCCTGTGTAAATTTGGCTACAGTCAGCCCTTCACGTTAGCGAATTTCACATTTGCAGCTTTGATTATTTATGGGTTCGGTTATGTTCCCTCAAGGAATCTCTAGATTAGTGGCCTACAACTCCTAGAAATCCCAGCCAGTTTACCAGCTGTTAGGATTTCTGGCAGCTAAAGGCCAAAACATCTGGGGATCCACAGGTTGAAAACTGCTTCTCTAGGTCCTCCAGTGTGACTCTGTAACCAACTTCCACAATGTAGATCAAGAATGAACCCTGTTAGGAATTGTGGGAGTTGAAGTCCAAAACACCTGGAGAGCCCAATGCCTGGTACAGATGCAGGAGACATTGAGATTCCTGGAGAGGTGTTGTCTATACAGAAACATTTCTTGAAACAGATGAAATGCTTCTGATTGTTCTGTATGATATGCCGAATGAGGCCTGTTGATTTCAAAGGATAGTAAAAAAATGGAGAAATTGCTCTCTTTGGATCACAGCTTCTAGACTCCATGGACCAGGCTAAGGGATTCTGAGAGTTGAAGTCCAAAACATAACTTTTCTTAGCTCCACAAGTGCTAAACTGAGTGTAGTGAGGAAATCCTAAGTTGCCATTACAATACACTGCTTTTCCACTTGTGAGTGGAAAGACTAACCATATGTTACCCATCTGAGGCCATTTGTCTTATTGTTGGACAAATAATTTGAATAGAGGTTTCAGATGAAATGATTGCTATCACAGTCTTAGCTTTTCCCAAGATGGAAAACCTCTCTGTTCTCACAGTTATCACTTCACACTGCAGGTAAGATTCCTTATGGCTGGATATCCACCTCAAGGCCAAACAGTTCCCTCCATGTGAAGGAAAATAAACTTAACATGCCAATAAATAACTCATTTGAGTCATGTGAAGCCCTCCCTATAGCTGGAAGCAGCATTGCCATAAAATACTTGTGCTGGAACTCAGCACGGAAAGTGAAAATTGCACCTTCTATTATCCAAATCAGTTTTTTTAATTGATGAAAAATAAAGCTTTTTCTAAAAAATCAATTTAAGTTTTTAGTGTGTAGGACTTTCCAAGAATTGAAGTCTTGGCAGAACTGCACATAGATATGGAAGACATGAAGACAGTCACCTTCTTGTGACCCAATTTTCATTTTTTACACTTCTAAAATACCTGAACTATCCAACTGTGTAATAGATTTTTTTAATCCTACAATACACTTTCATTGAACAGGAAAACTATTGAAGATATTTGCTTATTTATCAAGACCAACATGATGTTGAAATGGCATTCACCACACAATGGAGATTGCTGATGCACACAGTATAATCAATGCAGTTTGACAACACTTTAACTGCCATGGCTCAGTGCTATGAAATCCTGAGAGTTGTGATTTAATCTATACTAAAGACTTCCCCTGTAATAGATGCAACTTCAGAGAGAAAAATGAAGGTGAACGTTATATATTTGGCACCAAGAACACAGCTGGGAACACAATACCTCTTTGGTTTTGTGCTTACTTTTTGGCGTCAGCACCTGTTTGGTGAGCACCTGTTTACTCACTGGTGTGTTGTAGAACTCTCCAGGCAGGCTTTTGGAAAACAAACTGGCCTGCTGTCAAAACCCATAGTTTATTATTACTTGACTATGGTGTCATCTGGAAAGTTGTGGTGGCAGTTGACTCTAAAAAAAAACCCACCTAGCTGATGCTGTTTATGTTGTCTTCAAAGCCCATCATCTGGAATGTCCCATGCGTACTTTGTGTACATAACACATGGATAGGTTCGTTTTCAAACAATGGTTTTGGAGGCAGAGCAATTAAGCTGGTCATTCTTCTAGAAACATGGCTATTGAAGCTTTTTAGATTTATGATAGCCAGTTATCTGTGCAATAGTAAATTTGATCTAGATTTAAGTACAATACTGTGCGTGTCGGGCTGTTGTCTTTTAAGGCCACCTGGAAACTTCCACCGGTTCACATTATTGCAGATAATGCTGCTGACTGGAAAGAGGTGATAGTAAAATATGTCTTGTTAGTTCTGCGTCAACTCCGCTGGTTCTTTCTGTTTTTGCAGAAGAATTTGAAAGGTCAAATAGGTTTCTCATGGAACACCTACTTTCATATGTTCCTGGATCTCCAGGGAAGACTCTACTCCAGATTCCTGTATCTCACTCAAGTCTTATATTTTGGCAATCTGGTTGTGGAGAGTTCAGGATAAGTACATATGCCTGGAATGTGTTGTTCTGGGTGTTTGCACTAGGTAATAAACACATTTATTTACCCATGCCCCCATTAAGTACATTGTTCTGTTTTGTTGGCTACTTCCTTAGAGTTTTAGTTGGATGAATTTATGCTGTGGGTATTCAAAACTGCATTGTTGTTTTACTACTGGCTTGTGCATTTGTATAGCTATTGATTTCTTGCTGATGTTAAATGCGTTGTTTGTTTCATTCCACCTAGTATTTGTTGTTTTACACATTTTATATATTAGGCATCTCATGTTTTTGTGCTAAATCTAATTTCATTTTTAGCGAGCCAGCATGACGTGTGGTAGTGTGAATGTCAGATTATAACTCTAGATATTAGGCTTCAAATCTGCAGTTGTCTAGTATTATTATTATTATTATTATTATTATTATTATTAATTGCTATATTTATTTATACCCCCGTGGGGACTCAAGGCGGCTAGCACTATGCAAGATAAAAGTTGCAGTATTAGGTGGCCTTGGGCAAGTCACATTATCTCAGCCTCAGAGAAAGGCAACAAATAAAATTTGCTAATAAAACCTTGTGATAGGGTTGTATTAGGATCATCATAAGTCAGAAATGTCTCAGAGGCACAACACAACAACTTCATTCTTAGAGTACCAGTGGGACACATTCTGATTTCTAGCTGAGGAATTAATAAGTTAATAAAACAATTTTTTGACAGAAATCTAAGAACCATCATCTGATTCTCCTCTCGTGTACTGTCAGTGTGCTCAATATAACTCCTTTCTGAATTTCCTCCCACTTGCCAAATGTTATTTCTTTTTGTCACAGATTGTTAGTTGTTCAAATTGATTTTTCATCACCCTTCTTTGTCTACTCAGGTTTATATACCATATTACTTAAGAGGCCATTGATTGCAAGACGTTCCCTAATGCCACCTCCACCAACAAAAATACATCAGATAGGCCTGTGATTCTTAGATGTACCCAATTTTAGAGATATTTACATAAGGAGAAACGTGTGTCTTAGAATTGAAAAAATACAGTCCCCAAGTTACGAACAAGATAGCAGGTTTGCTCTTAAGTTAAATCTATATGTAAGTACATTTTTAAAAACTGTAATTCCAGCCGCACGCACACACAAACATACTTTGGATATAATAGGGAAGGGTGAGTACACTTTGTAGTGGGTTTTTTTGCTGCTTCTACCCCTGTTCAGAATAATTCACCTCACTTTCTGTCCCTATGAGAATTGGATTTTTAAAAAAATGAAGATTAGTGAGAAAGCTTCAGTAGATTCACCTTTTTCCCATGATAACTCTTTTAGCAGTGAATTCCCCTTCTGAGAGGTAGATTTCTCTTGCTTCCTGTTGTCTCACTCCCATGCAGATGATGGGGGCATATGTAAGTTAGATGGGGTTGTTGTAGGTTTTTTCGGGCTAAATGGCCATGGTCTAGAGGCATTCTCTCCTGACGTTTCGCCTGCATCTATGG